TCGATGAGGATGGAAATTGTTTGTAGCAAAAGTAAAGACCAATCGCTCTGGAAATGAAGCTCAAGCTGAGTCACTTTTGGAAACACAAAATGATTTGTCATCGTTTTCTAAAAATAATCAAACATAAGCATGATTTTAGCTTCGATAGTACAAATAAACTCTCAGTAACTCAGCAAGCAAATAAGGTGATTATATCCAGTTAATAGTCATATTTTGTTTGAATGACTCTTATCACCTGATGGAATCGGTCTGATCTGATAGAACACAAAATAAAATTATGAAATCAAAGAATTTTGTAACACTATTCAAAACGATATCTAAAACTTATGCTTTCAATTTAAGCAAAACTGTCAACAAGAAGACGGGTTGAAAATGCTATCGATATAGTGAACGAAAGACATAACTATTTCAATAACATACATGTTCTTGAAGATCATCAGCTACCGATTTGGTCAAAAATAAACGAAGTGAATTGATGTTATCTGTTGATGGGAGATCATTATCCATCATCACAGGATAAGTGGATAAGGAAATTTTTTCCGATTTTGGCAGGTAATATATAGAAGATTTGCATACTGGTAATCAATAAAAATCAATCTTTGTTGCGTATTTCAGCCGTGCAGTATGCACAGGATCTCGCTAGTTTTGTTTATATTGATGACTAAGTCTACACCATCTTGTTATTTGTTCATGAAAAAACCGGCTGAGTGTAAGAAATTTACACTTCATCCATAATCATCCTCAACTAGTATTCAATGTTCCATCACGACTGAGGAATATCGTTGCTTTTCCTCATTTTTCTTTAAAAAAAAAATGTTGCCATTGAATATGAACGACACTAATTTGAACTTTTTAAGTCCAGCTCCCATCGTTTTTAAACAACAAGCATAATGCTATTTTGTATTACAATATGTTCTTAAGTTGTTTTCTTCTCCGCTTCAGAAGAGTAAGAGAAACATTGACAATATTGTTATAGGCGAATTTGTTTCTCTTTTTTATTCATTCATAGATGTTTGAAATTTTGACTAGATTAGAGTAATTTTGATTGAAATGTGTTAGTATTATTTATTTCATTGTCAATCTTTGTGCTCATACAATCATCATTATTCGTTATTCTGAAACTTTACAAATACCGAAACTTGAATTGAATGAAACGAATATTTTTCTCCAAGAATCAACTTCGGTTGATTTTCCCTCTGTTACAAATGATTTTTTATTAGTCTAAGCAATTTACAAAGTCGAATTTGTCCAATTTTGAGTAGTTCATCTTGATTTCTGTCTGTTTTGACTTATTTTCTGTTCAATTTTGTCTAATAGTAATAACCAAAATGATTCTGAACAATAAAATTTTCAGAATTTAATATAATTTAAAAGTGCTTTTTTCTGGATTCAAATATTATCAATAAATCCTTTATTTTTGAAATTGTATGCAATTTAAACCAAAGGATATTTGAAATATATCTAAAGTTCAACAAACAATTTTGTAAAATTTGTTTTTCATTTCAAAAGACAATATTGTATCTCCTGCTGCCTATGCATCAAGCAGTAGTAATGAACTATCCAAAGTTACTTGAGTTTTCTTGATATTCGAAATGAACATCAAGACATGCTCTTACCCTAATTTTGAGAGTGGGTGTGCAGTGGAGGATTTACCGGGGGGTGGCGATCAGGCGATCGCCTCCCCCTTCCAGAGATTTTTTTTGTTTTTTCTCAGCAAAAACGTACGAACAACTGGTCTTTACTACCTCGCATAAGTCTCAAAAAGTGATTTTTGTCTATAACTGTCGTATCTTTCGAAAACTGCCCTTCCCTTCTAAAATTCTAGATCCGTCACTGTGGGTGTGGGTGTGGTTGCGTTTTCTCCTTTCATATGTTCACACCCACACCCACACCCACATCCACACTCACCCTCACCCCACCCACACCCACACCCACACCCACACCCCACACCCACACCCTTTTTTGTTTGTCTTCCAATAATAATATAATCTTCAATTGCAGTTCACTGGACGATGTATAACCATTTACAATCAATATCATTTTTTCTTTTATATGAGAGTTATTTTTTAAATAGAAACCTTGGAATTTTTTCGAATTATCTTCTCTGACATCAGTGCTAGTAAAACGTACTTGTTCTTCATTATCAAAGATTTGATATTGAGTTTTAACTATTGCTACGTAAAATATGTGTCGTTCTTTATAATCTGTTGTTGTTTTATTACAAAATTCAACATAACTTTTGTCTTCACGATCAACATTACGTTTTTTTCTTCAATGAATTTAGTAATCATTAAAAATACATAAGATTTATCTATATGTACTATTAGTAATACATTCAAATTTTGACTTTTGATCGCGAACAACCGTACGCTCTTTTGATGTTCGAACGAACTCAACTTCAACATAATCAACAATTACATTAGCGACCGCACGAACTTGGTCTCTACAAACTACACATGTATATTCAAATAAATCAGGTAAAATAACATGGATTATTTTTTATGTTCGTCGTTTATTGCATGATAATTTAGAAATTCGAAATAAAACACTACTTTCAACTGTTCTCTTAACATTTCAAATAAACTTCTCGAATTCAAAAATATGGATGCCGTATGATGATGAATAATGGAAAAGGGGGTGTTAACAGTCACGCTCCACATTATCGATCACTGATTCTTTCATTTCAAGGTATATTTTTGGAGTGTTCATTATTCGCCTATATATGAATGATTAGCATGTGGCTGTGAGAGCAGAGCAGACATACAAAAAACTCACAACTACATCCACTCCCTGGAAAAAGAGACTCCTTATGCAGTACGCTTTTCTATCGACATGTGTAAACACAGGTATGCTTTTCATAGAAGAAAGAGATGCTTTCCAGCACTTCGCTAATAGCATCATGCACAGCAACCGATTTCTCTAAAAGAAAAAAGCTTTTCATTCTGACATACGTGTTGACAGAAAAGAAAAAATAATTCGAGTATTGATGAGACCTCAAGTGCTAAAAAAGAATCGAAATGAGTTTCGTTCGAACAATAACAACAAAAAAAAGAATTATTCACTCTTCTAACTGAAAAAATAAATGATTTTTATTTTGTGCTTTTCTTTGACGACAAAAGTGTGCATGCAAAATAAAAGCTAATTGTAAGTATCTCAAGATTGAATAGAACTTTTTTCTCTACCAATAATGTAAGGCTTATTAATGCAGCTTGTATTAGACAGAAATGTGAAACTTTGACGTCCTTTTCAGTTTTATTGTACTATTATAAAATACACGAACTGTAAAATTTTCAACAGACGATAGCTTCTTTTCTTATGATGATTGATGTTACTAAGTGCTGTTTTTTTACACTCTTACACCGCAAATAAGCGCTTATATGAATGATATTAGAATTAAAGTAGCATATTTCCTACCTGAATTCGGTTTCTGATCCATGTTAAAATCCTATAGTGTTGTGTTTAATGCATAATTGTCTTTTCTATAGTATGGTGTCATTTTCGGTGGTGGTCAACATGGAAAAGTTATGTTTTACGGCTTCCTCTAGTTGTGAATGTCACTCTACCCAAGCAGATAGACATGTCGATTTTTATACAAATTTTCTGTACAGAAGGAACAAAGTTTCAAATTTTTGAGCTATATAATCTTAATACCAGTTTTCGCACAAAATCTCAATTTTTTTATGCACTTTTTCAGCTAGATTTCAGTTTTTTGAGATACTTTTTCGTTTTTTTAATTTTTTCTAAACTATTTTGCAGAAAGTTTAACCTAAAATATTGAAATTTAGTTAAAAAAAATGCATAAAAAATTGAGACTTTGTGCGAAAATTGGTACTAAGTTCAGATAGCTAAAAAATTTAAGAGTTTGTTCCTTTTGTGCAGAAAATTTGTATAGAAATCGACATGCTTGTCTGCCAGAGTAAGTGTCAACGAAGGTATGCTGGGATAATGATCAACCTTAAAACTCACAGTTTCAAACAACTATCGCCGTAATCAGTTGTGCGCTAGAATAAAGTCATAACATGTATACGGTCGAATTCTCTCGCTAACTACGCCTACCTTTGAAGTCACACCTGAGATGATTTTTGTCCAACGAATTCCATTGAAAATGGTACCATTCGATGGTGTATAGAATTCTAAACAAGACACAGCCTGTTAGAAACCTAGCACAGGTCAGAAAAAGAATTCTGGTAGGAAACGTTTGAATTTGGTGTTAACACTGCTTTTCAACAGTTAAGTTTTCGTATGCAGCGTTTGTTACGCACGTTTTCTTCTTTCTGTACACATCTCATTTCTCGTATTTTATAACTTCTACTATTATAGCATTGAGTGATACGGTACACAACATTGGCACGCCTATAGATAATGTCTCTCATAGAGGATCGCAACTGAGGATTGTACATTTTGTTTCAATCAGAAACACTAGTCTTGATCATTTCTAAAAAAACGATTTTCTTAGTCAAATCTCGCTTTTATACTGAACCTGTAACAACGGGTGTAGGGTTGAATAAGGGTAAACCTGAATTTGATCGAAAGTAAAAATATCGAAAGTAAAAATATCGAACAATAAAAATATCGACAAATAAAAATGTCGAAAAATGTATGAAACTAGCAAAAGAAAAGATATTGTAGTTATTCTTGGTTAAGAATTTATTTTAGTATTTCAAGCATTAAAATTATATTTTAGATAAAAATGAAAATCTTCGAACAAAGCATAAATAAATCAGCTAGTATTAAATGAATGAGTTTTTTTTTAGATTTTTTTTGCAACAACGTACGATAAACCGGTGAGAAGATCAGATGAATTGATAAGATTGTTATCATATCGATTGAAAAGTGTATTTATGCGATGTTGAATAGCAGTTGTACGGACATCTTTTTTTCTTGCCGCGCCGGCCGCCCATTGAATCGTAATACAATGGATCCTTCGCTCTTCATTTTGCATAAACTTGATAAAAGTCCAGATATTGGGATGATTCTTGTATATACGACTGTTCATTCTATTATGATAACCTTTGAAAAGCAAAAGATACATTTAAAACTGTATTAATCATCCTACCTTCGCACACGTTATTTGTTCTTGCATTACATGTAGAGACATTCCATAAATCAATATTATCTAACCAGTTTCTTTGAAAATACGATAATAATTCTTCCATAGGATAATCAGGTAATTGATCAGCATCAGCTTGAATTTCATTAAAACCATTAACTACTTGCTCACGTGACATTAATGCTAATGCCATAAGTTTTCGACATAATAATCTAAAGGATTCATTAGTTGAATAATGTTGTTGTTTTCCCAAATGTTGTATGTGCCGATAAATTGCTTGACAGAAACGGAAGAAACATCCATAGTGCTTTGATGAAGGAAACTAAAAATTATGAAGTGCAAATTTACATAATATTTGCTGATTAAGTGTACAACTCACCTCTGATTTTAAAACTGGTAAAACACCGGATTCAAAATCACTCATGATTGTTACGGGTGCGAAAACTTTACCACGTTCCTTTGCTTTGTCTTTAAGTTCAAGAAAAATATGTCTATACGTAATAGCTTTTTTATTTACTAGCAAACAGAAAACACATGGTATACTTTAAATACATACAGTAGGTTTTTTTTAATGGCAATAATCTCACTTACATATGTCAAAAATAATCGCATGGATAATATATACTTGAAGAAAATGTGGTGGACTTTTAGCAAACGTTCCATCCATGTAAACGATGCGAGATTGAAATAATAAATCAAGTTGATGATCATTAGAAAACATCAACAGACGTTCACGTCGCTCAAGCACTTCATCAGTTAACAAAAATCGATTTCCATCAATGGTTTTTGTATAATCATCTGGAATATCGAATAAACAACAATTTGGTAATAACGGGACTACTTTTTGTCGAGCTTTGACAACGGATGGATCTAAAACAAAACAGAATTTAGCTGAATATTAATTTGTGTGACCATACAAATCTCTTGGCTTGTTGGTAAGATAGCAAAAGTTGCTGAACTAATAGAGGTGTGCGAAGTTTCTTGTTCATAAATCATTGAAATTGGTATTATTTCTTTAAGAGCACGTTCTTTTATCTTCTGCCGAGCCTGTCTAACTTCGACTAACTCGGGATTGGGTTCATGATCATGTTCAGGTACATCACCACCCAAATATATATTATTTGTATCTGTATGAAGATACACTGTACATCATTTACTAATACATTGCCAATACTTCTTTTTAATTGTCTTTTTATTGTATTGGTATAAATAGTTGTTCAATAAGAGTAACAATTGACCTTTATTTGATGTTATAAAAGATATATTAATATTTTCTTTACCAGATGACTCTGTGGTTGCATTCATCATATATTACTATTAGTTTTGGCTGTTGATGATATATTCAAGTGTGTTTATACAAAGATAATGCCTTTGTTTGTTTGTTTCGTCGTATGCAGACTAAACATTATCCATTCTATTGACCAGTAACGTGTTCGACCATTTACACTAGTTACAAGTGTATCTCATGAGACTTATCGACCACTACTGCCATCTCCTTTTATGTGTTTAATACATATTTATCGTCAGAGGTCTGATATACGTAATCTCAAACACTAGGAATTCTTCTTTTGACATTTTTATATTTCGATATTTCTATGATTCGATATTTTTATTTTCGACATTTCTATGATTCGATATTTTTACATTTCGATATTTTTATTTTCGAGATTTTTATCTGTCGATATTTTTATTTCGAGATTTTTACTTTCGGTATTATTCGGGGAATCTGAATAAGTGGATGTAGTTGCTTTCTTTCTTTGTGTCTATGCATCTGCATGCACACCCCACACCTTACACCCGCACTCCATACTCACACCTACACCCCACCTAGACCCAATCACACCCTCAGAAAAACATCGACTTATAATCTAAAGTCAACACTCTAGTCAAAAATATATGAGGCGCTCTATTATAATAATAAAAATAAGTTTTCTTGGAGCAACTATCTCGATAATAAAATTACCAGCGTTCTTGTTTCTTCAATTTGTGTTCGGCGAATCACATTAGAACAGTTGACCTTGTACATTTTTTTGCATTCTGCAGCAGCTGAAACGGATAGACATGACTCTTTTTTGCAGGAGTCATTATTTGTTCGCAAGTTCTTTGAAACTCGAACCAGAATTTATTTTCTCTTACCTAAGTTCTAACTTACACGCTATTTCTTATATCTTTGACGTCGTCTTTGAATATCTCAGTCTTAAAATCTAGTAGACAGTTTCTAGTTCTTCGTGCTTTAGTGTTTGCTTTTGGATTTCCGAAAACAGAAATATTCAGATTTGATTTCTTTTTTTTGTTTGAAAAAATGAAATTGACGTCTTGATCAACAATGTGTTTTTGTCAAGAGGTATAGGTGCTGCGGATATTAGGAAGCACATATTTAGCCGAGTACTCACAAATAATTACTTGTATCGAATAACATCATTACTGCCAATAAAATCAGTAAAATTAGTGACATAAACATATCTCATACTTTGTTCATTAGAACTATATTAAACTAGATATGCTATGAACTTTCTATATAACTAAATACTACTTACAAAGTAGTAAGTTAGTAGAAGTTCACTATATGATTCTCTCAAGAAGGAACCTCACCAACTGATACACTTCGTTTCAGTTCATATTTTGCGCATAGGTAGGGCTCATTTTGTAGACAAAAACCCTAAGAGGATTCATCCCATTGCCGCTTTGTTTCAGAAAAACAAGGGTAACAAGTTTTTCTGAAAGTGACATTTCTGTATTTTCAATAAAAAAAATTTATTTTTATATCTCAATAAAAGGATGTTTTCGCGAGCTGATTTTTAAAAATGATATTACACATTGTTACTCATTCATTTCTTTCTTTCAATCATTATTGTGACGTTATCATATACGTAGGGTAGGTGTGGGTGTGTGGGTGTAGACAAGAAAAAGACTTCACAGCCACGCCCCGTTTCAACCAATGATAAAAAATGCCTGGTTCAAAAGGGGTTTTTTTGAAACATCATCCAGATCCATTTTAGTATGCGAAAGACATCTGTTTCACATTTCAAACCGATAAATGTCATGAAAAAAGTTGTATTGATGGACCGATGATTCGATGTTCTTGGTGCCAACAAGAACTGTGCTTCACTCATTTTTTTTGAACTATCATTACCATTAGACTGATTAATCATTTTCTTGATCGTTTATTTTGTTTTCATTCTCTATATGTATCACACACTAAGTTAAAATGTGTCGCATGTGTCGTGATTTACGACACAATGCACGACACATTAAAGTACGACACGAGGTGCTCGTTGCGACACATTTTGTCCAGCAAGAGCACGACACATTTCGTACGACACATGCGATACATTTTTTATTGGTTCTTCTGAAAATGTATACTATGAATTTTTTTCAATTTAATTCCATTATTATTATTCCTGTCCTGAAAACTTAAGCAGATTAGATCTTGAGATCTTTCCAGCCTCGACTTGGTCCGATCTCTGTCAAATCGGTTCAGGGTAGTCCTCTCTCGAATATTGATCGAGAGTGGCATTTTCTCGACTACTAAATTATCGAGAAATAATCTAAAAAAAAATTATTGTGAAAATATTTATCTTTCTTACATTCAACCGTGTTGCTTATATATGGCTGTGCGTGCCTAACAAAAACGGTGAATGAATAATGAACAAACAGAACGCGACAAATTCGTATACGACATATTCTGAGCGCCACACATTGTTATGTTGGGATGCACGACACAATAACTCACGACACATAAATGCGACACATTTTATGTTAGAGTGCAGGTTTTTGCTCACTAAATAGAGAAAATAGCTAACAATCTTCCGCTTTTCTGCAATAAGTAACAATAGGTAATATCAATTCTAAAAAATCAGCTCGCAAGAACATCCTTTTATTGAGATATAAAAATAAAATTTTTTTATACAAAATAGAGAAATGTCATTTTCAGAGAAACTTGTTGCGCTTGTTTCTCTTAAACAAAGCGGCAGTGCGATGAATCCTCTTAGGGTTTTTATCTACACAATGAGCCCTACCTATGCGCAAAATATGAACTGAAACGGAGTGTATCAGTTGGTGAGATTTCCTCATCAGTGGGCGCCAATTAATCTGATTTCTAATTGAATCGGTATCCGAATCAACTTAATAATCGCCAAGCAGAGAAAGATTTAGATAGATGAGTTTTTCCAATTTCTGTCTAAGTGGGCAATGTCAACTGATGCAGCAGAAAATTTTTCTTCTAGGAGCTCCACTATTGATGGCATTTGTGATGTAGAAATAGGATTTATTCCTGAAGAAACTGAGTATACTGGAAGATACACAACTAAACCATCTAACAATGAATAAATTGAGAGCTTTCTGTATATTGGGAGAGATACCTACCGAAATAAATTTTGTACATTTTGCTTTAGAAATTTATCGATATTTGGTCAATATTAACCTTGTGACTCTGTCTTAGATTTGAAAATGGAACTCACTGGTGGAAAACACGTTATGCTGTCATATAATCACAAAAGTAAAGAGATTGTATCCAAAGTCTACGATATTCTAGTTGAAGCAGGTATTCCAACTTGGATGGATACGAAGGGACGCATGGGTGATCATCCAAACAGAAGGTATGATTTCTACATGATTGCTCTTTCTTTAATGTTTAAAATTTTTTGTCCTTTTGGTTAGCATGGCTCAAGTAGTAGACGATGCAGCAGTTGTCTGCTGCTTTCTAACACAAGAATATCAGCAATCCGAGGTTTGCGAGGAAGAATTAACTTATGCAAGTGCTAAGAAAAAACGTATCATTCCCTGTATGGTGAGTGATAGAAAAGTATGGAAACCCTCGGATTGGCTAGGAATAATAACAGCAAAATTATTGTACATTGACTTTTACACTACGTCTGAAGCAGACATACACGCCAAAGTGAACCATCTTATCAACAGAATAAAAGACCAACATCTAATTACTACAACAGAATCAATGTCACCATCTGTCAAATTATTTGAGTCAATCAGAGAAAAGTATCTACGAGAAGATCAAATCAAGCGTTTGGTGAATGAAGAAAAAAGTTTCCCAATTGAGCAGAGTTATATTAATTTGGCTATGGTAGAAACCAAAGAGCGGCACAAAAAAGAAAAGAAGCTGAAACGCCAGGATCAAAGCATCGAAGAACAAATAAACGAACAGGGTTTCGGAAAGAAACAGCAAAATTATGAGATTCTCGGCACTTACGAGGAGATTTATGGAACGAAGACCTCGATCGACATCGAGAACATTTTTCAGAAATGCAAAGACGCGATCAAAAAAGTGCTCATACTTGGACGAGCTGGAATCGGAAAATCAACATTCTGTCAATATGTTACTTATCGATGGGCAAAAGGTGAACTTTGGTCTGAATATGAACTACTTGTTGTAATTCATTTACGAAAGCTGACAGACAGTCGCTACCAAGCAGTAAAAGAATACTCATCTGTTGATCTAGTAGAGCAAGAATATTTCCCCTGCGATGATGTATTGAAGGAAGAAAGGCAGCACTTCAAAGAACAATGCAAAAAAGGCAAAGTTCTTTGGATTTTAGATGGTTACGATGAATTTGTTCAAAACATTCCAGCCCCATTAAGAGATGTGTTCGACCATATACGTGAGACACAGCCACATATATTGACGTCTCGACCCTATGCTATTGAGTTACCCTATGACGTAAAAATGGAAATAATAGGATTCACAGATGATAATATTGAGAAGTATGCCGAGTCGTTCTTCAATAAGAGTAAAGATCAAATGATCAGTGCATCGACCGAAACCGAGAAACTTCTACGATTCTTAAAGTCCAATCCTAGCATTTGGGGCGTTGCTCATATTCCAGTCAATTTAGAATTGATATGTACAGTTTGGAGTAACACGGATTGGTCGAAAACGGAAACATTAACAATGACGCTATTATATGACAATATGATAGAATGGCTATGTCGACGATACTTGACAAAACAAAACATCAACCATGAAAACATCCGAAAGCAAGCTGTTTATAGCAAATGCAGTAAACAGTTAGAATTTCTAGAACATTTGGCTTTCAAAGCAATGGAAAGCAACAGAATAGTGCTTCCTCCAGAATTTCTGGAGGAAACAGAAAATGAACTTGAGTGCTCCGTCGATCACCTTCGACAACAACTAGATTTTGGCATTCTAAAGTCATACGATGGCAAGCCAATCGGGGAAAGAAATCAAATGAAAAAACAACGCTATTTTGTTCATCTTATCTTTCAAGAAAACTTTACCGCACGTCACTTACTAAAACTACTCCAGAATTCTAATAATCAAAAAGCCATCCAATTTATAAACAACCACAAGTACGATCAACGCTTCCGTCAAGTTTTTATTTTTGCTGCAGGTTTTCTCGCCCATTCCAATTTTCAACCAGTTATGCACGTATTTTGGAAAACAATAAATGGAGAACCATTAGACCTAGTAGGATTACAGCATATAAAACTTCTTATTGAAACCATTAACGAGCTCGCAGATCAGACAGTATTTCCAGAACGAGCAAAATATCAAAAATCCATATCTCAATGGATAATAACCTGTGCCAGCCACAAACTATTCACACTTGTTCGCACCCTATCAGAGTCACTCAAACGTGCCACTGCTTTAGTTAACACAACACTCATACAACACACGTTCATCCAACTATTGCAATCGCCAAACAACCATACAAAACAACACACAACATATATTCTTTCAGAACTCCAAATATCAGAAGTTCTCCCAAAACTAATGGAAACACTTTCTGCTTTAACTTCCGATCCCGACCGAACTGTCAAGTGCTACGCCTGTACAACACTCCAGAAGATGGCTGAACAAGCAACGACCAATAAGGTGATCAATGCTTTGCTGAATGCAATGCACGATAAAGATAACTATATCCGAAACGCGGCGTCTAAAGCACTCGCAAAGATGGGTGAAAAAGCAGCCAGCACTGAGGTGATTGCCACTCTACTGAATGCAATGCACGATAAAGATAACTATATCCGAAAGGCCGCATCTGAAGCACTCGCAAACATGGGTGGAAAGGCAGCTCCCAATAAGGTGATCACTGCCCTGCTCACTGCAATGCAGGATGAAGATTACGCTGTCCAATCGGTGGCGTCTCAAGCATTCCGAAACGTGGTAGAAAAAGCAGCGACCAATGAGGTGATCACTGCTCTGCTCAATGCAATGCATGATAAAGTGGAATATGCCCACCACGTGGCGTCGGAAGCACTGCGAAAGCTAGTTGAAAAAGCACCCAGCAATGAGGTGATCAGCGCTTTGCTAAATGCAATGCGTGACGAAGATCAAAACGTCCGAAGGGCGGCGTCTGAAGCACTCGGAACGATGGGTGCAAAAGCAGCAACCAATCAGGTAATCACTGCTCTGCGGAATGCAATGCATGATGCAGATAACAATGTTCGAACGGCAGCATCTGCAGCAGTCGGCAAAATGGGTGAAGCAGCAGCGACCAATGAGATCATCACTGCTCTGCGGAATGCAATCCATGATGAAGATAAATGTGTCCGAAAGGCTGCCTATTGGGCACTCCGAAACATTGGTGAAAAAGCAGCCAGCAATGAGGTTATCACAACTTTGCTCAATACAATGCGTGACGAAAATCAATATGTCCGAAAGGCGGTGTATTGGGCACTCCGAAACCTTCGTGAAAAAGCAGCAACCACTGATGTTATCACAGCTCTGCTGAATGCAAGGCGTGACGAAGATCAATATGTCCGAAAGGCGGCGTATTGGACACTTCAAAACCTGAGTAGAAAAGCAGCGACCAATGACGTGATCAATGCTCTCCGGGATGCAATTCATGATGAAGATAAATATGTCCAAAAGGCGGCGTATTCGGCACTCCGAAACATTGGTCAAAAAAGACCGACCAATGAGGTTATCACTAGTCTTGTGATTGCAATGCGTGACGAACATCAATATGTCCGAAAAGCGGCGTCAGAAGCACTTGGACAGATGGGCAAAAACGCAGCCACCAATGAGGTGATCACTGTACTCCTGAATACAATGAGTGATGAAGATGAAGATGTCCGATCGGCGGCATCTCGAGCACTCGGAAATATGGGAAAAAAAGCAGCGACCAATGAGGTGATTACTGTTCTGCTGAATGCGCTGCGTGATGAAGATAAAGATGTCCGAAGGGAAGCGTCTTGGGCACTCCGAAACATGGGTGAAAAAGCAACGACCACTGCCGTAATCACGGCTCTCCTGGATGCAATGCATGATAAAGTTGAATATGTTTCACACGCGGCGTATGAAGCATTGGGAAAGATGGTGGAAAAAGCAGCGACTCATGAGGTGATCGCTGCTTTGCTAAATGCAATGCGTGACGCAGATAAGAATGTCCGACGAGCGGTGTGTGAAGCACTCGGAAAGATGGGTGAAAAAGCAGTGACCAATGAGGTGATCACTGCTCTGATGAATGCAATGCGTGACGAAAATAAAAATGTCCGATGGACGGCGTCTGAAGCACTTGGAAAGATGGGTGAAAAAGCGGCGACCAATGAGGTGATCACTGCTCTGCTGAATGCAATGCATGATGAACATAAATATGTCAGAAAGATAGCGTATTGGACACTCAGAAACATGGGTATAAAAGCAGCGTCCAATGAGGCAATCACTGCTCTACTCAATGCAATGCGTGATGAACATTATGATCTCCAATGGGCAGCGTCTGAAGTATTCGGAGAGTTGGTTGCAAAATCAGCGACGAATGAAGTGATGACTGCTCTGGTCAATGCAATGCATGATGAACATAAATATGTCCGAAGGGCGGTGTCTAAAGCACTGGGGAAAATGGGTAAAAAAGCAGTGACCAATGATGTGATCACTGCTCTGCTAAATGCAATGCGTGATGAACATTACGATGTCCGATGGGTGGCGTCTGAAGCACTCGGAAAGCTGGTTGAACAAGCAGCGACCAATCAGGTGGTCACTATTCTGGAGAATGCGATGCGTGATGAACATAAATATGTCCGAATGGTGGCGTGTGAAGTACTCGGAAAGATGGGTGAAAAAGCAGTGACCAATGAGGTCATCAGTGCTCTGCTGAATGCAATGCGTGATGAACATAAATATGTCAGAATGGTGGTGTCTGAAGCACTGGGGAAGATGGGTGAAAAAGCAGCGACGAATGATGTGGTCACTGCTCTGATGAATGCTATGCGTGACGAAGATAAATATGTCCGATGGGCTGCGTCTGAAGCACTTGGAAAGATGGGTGAAAAAGCGACGACCAATGAGGTGATCACTGCTCTGCTCAATGCAATGCATGACGAACATAAATATGTCCGAAAGGTAGTGTCTGAAGCACTCGGAAAAATGGGTGAAAAAGCAGCGACCAATGAGGTGATCACTGCTCTGGTAAATGCAATGCGTGATGAACATTACGATGTCCGATGGGTAGCATCTGAAGCATTCGGAAACCTGGTTGAAAAAGCAGCGACCAATGAGGTGATCAATACTCTGGCGAATGCAATGCATGATGAACATAAGTATATCCGAATGGTGGTGTCTGAAGCATTGGGAAATATGGGTGAAAAAGCAGCGATCAATGAAGTGATCACTATTCTGGTGAATGCGATGCGTGATGAACATAAATATGTGCGAATGGTGGCGTGTGAAGTACTCGGAAAGATGGGTGAAAAAGCAGCGACCAATGAAGTGATCACTGGTCTGCTCAATGCAGTGCGGGACGAAGATCGATATGTCCGAAACGCAGCGTCTGAAACACTCGAAAAGATGGTTGAAAAAGCAGCGACCAATGAGCTGATTACTGCTCTGCTGAATGCAATGCGTGACGCAGATCAATATGTCCGAAACGCAGCGTCTGAAGCACTCAGAAAGATGGATATAAAAGGAGCGACTCATGAGGTGATCACTGCTCTGCTAAATGGAATGCATGATGAACATCGATATGTCCGAAGGGCGGCCTCTGAAGCACTTGGAAAGATGCGTGAAATAGCAGTGACCAATGAGATGATCACTGCTTTGCTGAATGCAATGCGTGATGAAGATAAATATGTCCGATGGGCGACGTCTGAAGCACTAGGAAAGATGGGTAAAAAAGCACCCACGAATGAGGTCATCACTGCTCTGCTGAAAACAATGCGTGATGAAGATGAAAATGTTCGAGAGGCGGCGTCTGTAGCAGTCGGAAAACTGGTTAAAGAAGCGCCGACCAATGAGGTGATCATTGCTCTGCTGAATGCAATGCGTGATGAAGATAGGAATGTTCGATGGGCGGCGTCTGAAGCACTCGGTAAGATGGGTGAAAAAGTAGCGACGAACGAGGTGATCAGTGCGCTGCTGAATGCAATGCGTGATGAACATTACAGTGTCCGGTATGCGGCGTCTGAAGCGCTGGGAAAGATGGATGAAAAAGCAGCGACTCATCAGGTGATCATTGCTCTGCTGAATGCAATGCGTGATGAAGATAGGAATGTTCGGCGGGCTGCATCTGAAGCCCTCGGAAAGATGGGTGAATTAGCAGCGACCAATGAGGTGATAACTGCTCTGGCGAATGCAATGCATGAGGAAGATAAATATATCCGAATGGTGGTGTCTGAAGCACTGGGAAAGATGGGTGAAAAAGCAGCGACTGATGAGGTGATCACTGCTCTGTTGAATGCAATGTGTGATGAAGATTACCATGTGCGACAGGCGGCGTCTGAAGCACTCGAAAAGATGGGTGAAAAAGCAGCCACCAATGAGGTGATCACTGCAGTGGTGAATGCATCTGCCAGTACAAGTGATGATTGGGATAACTTAGTTGTTGGAGTTGTTGAAGAAGCGGTATCCTCTAATGATGATATAAAAAATTTGAATTCGGCAATCATTTCAAAGCTTTACTCCTGTTTGCAACGGTTTGAGTATATCAGTCTTGAAACGATGGCTTCGGAGCACTTGTTCAACGTTTATTTGGATTCAGGAAATGAAGATTGGCTTCCGATAGTTGCGTTTGCAGCGCTTATACAAGGGGTAGCTGTGACGACTGTTGACAATAAAATCAGGCTTTACAATGCTAATAGGCTTTTGGAGTTACACATACCTCGCTCTGAATTGATGGACAGTTTGGTGGGAGCTTTCAGCAGTCAGAAGAGAGAATTGGAAGGCACGGTTTTGACGCTGTCGGAAATTGATGTCAATGCCGCACAGTAACGTTGAGTTGGTGGGCTTTTGTGACGTTGTTCTACAATTATGTTGGCTAAATGAGTAGTTCATATTTTTGTTATTGAAGAATTTTTGTAGTTTCACGTAGTTTGGTGTGGAGCGTGTGTTATGAAATTGGCAATCATGATTGACTTTTATCTCTTTCGTGGGCCTGACTAGTAGCTTTAACCCTGCATAATGCTGAATGTTACACTCAAAAGAATGTTTTCTGGCTATGAGTGCGTTAGTGAGACGATCTGGATGGTTTCTGGCCTGATGGCGTGGCTTTCTGTGCAGTCTGAACGTAGTTCAAGAAGAACTCGACACTGTGCTGAGTGAAATATTCTTTTCTTAATGAGTCCCGGGTGTGGGTGTGGGTGTGGGTGTGGGGTGGGGGTGTGAGTGTGGGTGTGGGTGTGGGTGCGGGTGTGGGTGTGGGTATGGGTGTGTGTGGGTGTGGGGGTGTGAGTGTGGGTGTGGGTGGGTGTGGGTGTGGGTGGGTGTGGGTGGGTGTGGGTGTCGGTGGGTGTGGGTGGGTGTGGGGGTGGGGGTGGTTAGAAATCAAAGCATTAGCTACCCTCACACCCACACTCACACACCCACACCCACACCCACACCCACACCCTTGAGCAGGCTTTTGAAGAACACATGGAAAGAGAAAATGAAAATGATATCGACGATACAAATGTTGAATATGATCAGGATAAAAATGAATTTCTCATTTATGAAATGAGAAATAATGAAGGCGATATCTTTGTTGAAATGGGACTAAATACTCGAACTGAAAAAGTCGAACATTTTAATGTTCCCAAAATAATACCAGACACTGAATATCAGCACATGATGAGAAGTCTCAATAACAATCAAAGAAGATATACTTTAAATGTGATGAATTTGATAAAAAATGGTGATAAGCAGTTTTTTCATTTCATTGATGGAGGTGCAGGTGTTGGCAAGAGTACTTTGATCAAAGCAGTATATCAGTCGATATTGAGATTTTATAATTCACTTCCTGGATCTAAACCAGAAACTATTCGTGCTGCAATCTGTGCGTCAACCGGTAAAGCAGCAGCATTAATAGACGGAATGACTTTGCATTCTTTTTTAAGTTTACCAGTTAATCAATGCAAGCATAAACTCGTTAAACTAGATAGCGATATTTCAAATAGAATTGGTGTAAAATTGAAGGACTTGCAATTATTAATAATAGACGAAATATCAATGGTTGGTTTTACAATGTTTCAACAGATCGATGCACGTTTGCAGCAAATAATGAAGTCCAAAAAACCATTTGGTGGAGTATTAGTCATAGTTTTGGGTGATTTCAATCAATTATGACCAGTGGGTGATAAATACATATTCCAATTTAACAATTCATATAATGCTTTAGTAGATAGTCCACTATGGTCAATGTTTGAATTGTTCGAATTGACAGAAATAATGAGACAAAAAGATGATAAGACTTTCGTTATTGCATTAAGTAATATTGCGAAAGGTACAACGACGCTTGATGATATTGATTTATTGAAGTCACGCATTGTTTCAAACGAAAATTTGGAAATGATGGGAGATGCAATAAGAATATTTTGAAGTAATGCTGAAGTTGATGCATGTAATACAAAAGTATTGGCCAGTCTTAATACCGAAGGTGCAATCGCTAATGCTTATGATTTTTGTGTTGGTGATGGACTTGCATCAATAAGAGAAAAAGTTCTAAACAACGTAAAGAATCTGAAAACAACTGAAACTTACGGTTTACCACTTAAAATTGATTTGAAAGTGGGCGCTAAGTATATGATGACAGTGAATATTGACACTGAAGATGGATTAGTAAATGGCGCCTGTGGAAAATTGATAATGATTGATTATGGAAAACTGCAAAAGACAAATGAGACAGTACCATGTAGAATATGGATTAAATTTAATGAAGAGAAAACTGGAAGAAAAGCTAGAGTTAATTTTCAAAATGTAATGCGAAATAGAAATATTGATCTCAGTCTCACACCAATTGAACCAGTCACACGACAAATAAATACAAAATCGACAAATTTCAAAGTAGAACGTAAACAGTTTCCTCTAGTTCCTTGTGAGGCTATGACTATATACAAAAGTCAAGGTGGTACTTATGAAAAAGTCGTTGTCAATCTGAAGGAGGGGATGACAAGATCTGAATTATACGTCGGTTCTAGTCGCGCAACAACAGCAAATGGTTTATATTTAATTCGTGACTTTGCTCCACCAAAACCACCTGAGAGTAATGATGCAGTGGCGATGATGTTTAAAACCATGAGATCCGAAAGAATGATCAAATTTTCACTTGAATTTCCTGAAGAATCTCAAGGAGAAAGATTTTATGTGATGTTCCATAATGTACAATCATTGAATAAACATTTTTTGGATATCAAATCTGACAAAACATTTTTGTTTGCTTCCATGATAAGTCTTGTTGAAACATGGACAAAACCTGATGACTCTTTGGAAATTGAAGGTTTCAAGATAGTTCAAAGACGTGATTGTAATCATATACGAAAACCATTTGGTCAAATCACTTATTTAAAAAAATGACTTGAACTATGTAAATATTGTCGAAAGATGTGAATATGCAGGCAAAAATCATATTGAATATTCCTCAATAAAAATTGATGATATTTGTATTATTTCCGTTTACAATTCACGAAATATGACATTCGATGTCTTAAAACGAAATATTAATGAAGGTATTACTGTTTCAAAACGATTTTGTCAAAATATAATTATTATTGGTGATTTTAATATAGATTTGAAGATGAAAACCAATAACAAATTTATTGAATATATGGAATCATTCGGACTTAGTTTGAATAATACACTAAATAGAGATTCAACTAATGCAAAAACGCAGATTGACTATTGCTTCACTAATGTGAAAGACTTAAAATCTGATTATTTTGAAAGTCTTACAAGTTTTCATAAATCAATATAGATAAGAAAACATAAAGTTTTGACTAAGTTTGATTTGGATGAAACCGAAGACATTCATACAAATATACCTTTTAATATCGAAGATGTTATAACTGATGATCAATCTGACACGATGGAAGTCGATGAGAAATTCGTTTTTGAACGTCATGAAACAGTTGATAAAAACGAACAAATTGACTTAGATATGTCTTTCCATTTGGAAGATCTCAAAGTTAGTGATCCATCTGATATGATGGAAATTGAAGAAAAATCTTCTTCCGAAAACTATGAAATCATTGATTCAAACTCAAGGAAGATTCTGGATCACTTTCTTCTTGCACTTGATTTTAATAAAACTACAGAGACGAATCAAATTTCAAGTCAAGCTCAAATAATCAATGATTTAATTGAAAAATCACCATTTATAACTATGAATAATAAAGACCAATCCGTCCGGTTAAAATCGAAAACAGAATATTCTGTTCAAGCGTTCGAATCAGTTTATGCTAGAGTTCAAACGATTGGAGATGGCAATTGTTTATATAGTTCTCTTTCGATAATAAATATTGGATCTGAAAAACTAATACATTCGATGAGATTGTTGGCAATCAATTCAATGATCAATAATAGCGATTATTTCCAAACACTTTGTAAAGTATTGCACTATTCATTTGAGGAACAGTTGAAAAGAACTGCTATGGATACAATATGGGGTGGAGAAGTTCAAATTCAGGCGCTTTCTATGGCTCTATCTCATCCTATCTATTCATATATTCAGTTTAACAGCGATCCAAAAAATAGACATTATATTTCATCGGACATTAGTTTAGAGGAACTAGTCGATCGATTTATTAAAGGAACAGCAGGTGGTCATCTAAAATATATAGGATACAAATCCGATATGAATAAACTAGGACTTTGTATTTACTATAATGGTAGTCATTATGATGCTCTTTTACCTTTTCGAGATAATCCTCAACAATTTGTACCGCACTTTGCCATAATTAACAGGATTTTAAAAAAAAACACGATTCAGCTAAAGCAAAGAAGTTTTCATTTATGCGAATGAATAAAGCCTCCGAAACTAACTCCTCGCCACGTCCTACAGGACAAAAAGAGGGCATCCGCAGGGCCTAAGGGGTGGTTCCTTAGTGTGCTCAAGGATGAATATTTTAGACAGTTTAATAAAAATCAATATACCGTCAGTTTCATCTTCTGAACTACACATAAAAGTCTGATTTGACTTCGAGATCTTCACATTTATTTATTGAGTACATTGAATCATGCAATTGCTTCATCAATAAGGCAAATTTATGTAAATAAATTATCAATAGCCTTATTTTATTCAAAATAAATTATAAATCCAACAATGTATATTTTCGACATCATTCTTTACTTTTAGTTATCTTGCGTTCGGATAGTACACACTAAATAAAAATGTGTCGTGTTTATATGTCGTGAATTATTGTGTAGCACACTCCAGCAGAAAAATGTGTCGTGCTTAGAATGTGTCGTATACGAATTTGTCGCGTTCTGTTTGCTGACTATTCGTTCACCGTTTTATTATGCACACATGGTCATATATAAACAATGTGGTTTAACATAGAAAAAAAAATTTCAAATTATTTTTATTTTCTAGATTATTTCTCGATTATTTTTTTTATCGAGAAAATGCCAATCTCGATCTATGATCGTGAGAGGACTACTCTGAAGCGGTCTGATATAAATCAGATCAACTCGAGATTGGACAGATCCCAGGATCTGACCAGCTTGAGTTTTCAGAATAGGAATAATTAAATGGAATTAAATTGAAAAAAAAACATTGAAATATGATTTTCCAAAAGGACCAATAGAAAATGTGTCGCATGTGTCGTACGAAATGTGTCGTGGTCCTGCTGGATAAAATGTGTCGCAGTGAGCTCCTTGTGTCGCACTTTAATGTGTCGCACAATGTGTCGCAAAACACGACACTTGCGACACATTTTAACTTAGTGTGTACTTTTTTTATAAAAAAAATGCGGAATGTTTTTGAAGGTATGCTTCTTTTTTTCTTACAGGGTTTCATTTATAAACATGACAGACAACGAAGTTAACTCTTTTATCGAGGAGAAATGTGGATCAACATTTTGTGCCCTTATCTTTGCATTGTACATTATTTTATTGGACTTTTATAATACACTCAACAGATGCCGTTAGTTAACACCACGTCATCTACCATGTTGAAATAATTTTGCTTTCCTTCTTTTCGGATGACTCATGCATTTTTATACCACAGTGTTTTCTGGACACAATGATTTACGTTGTTCTTTGAATAAACAAAAGAAAACTGAAAATTTTTGGGTACAGATGACTAAGAGGACAGAACCGAATTATAATCAGAACAATTCATGTTTTGTTTCCTAGATTTTTTAATTATTCACCGTTAATATTGTCTGGAATGGATGGTCATTCGAAACTGAAAAAACGGTAAAGACACTACGAAAAATTCTCGAAAAACATGGTAGTGGAGCTGAAATTTCTATCTATAAGTTGAAGAAAATCTGATCATTATGCGAAAAACTACATATATTCGGAGAAAGGAAACTTCGATGTATCTTTCTATCAAAGAGATTCCTAAGAAAAACTTGAAAATTCTAATAGTGAATCACTATTCTTTTGTCATTCTCTTATCATCATTTGAAATTTGTCGTTGAGTCTCCCCTAAATTGATGGTGCTCCGCCTTCTGTGCACATGTTATTTCGACAATGAAATACTTGGTTATGAAAGAAAATAAAATAAAATAAAATAATATTTTTCGTTTATGTGTATTTTAGATCGATAATGCCAGATATACTTCATAGTGTAATTGAGCGATTATCCGTAGAGCTATGGCAAGAAATCTTTGAATATTTGAATTTAAATGATTTATGGTACTCATTTCGTGGTTTGAATAGTAGAATTGATGCCATTATTGATCAAACAAGCATACATGTAAATTTTAAGAATGGAGATGATTATGATTATTTAAAAAAAAATATTTTATCGTCAATAAATATTGCTAGCATTCAATCGTTAAAATTACGAAGAATTAATGAAATAAAACATTTCTTCTCTATTTATTCACTCAGTTCATTAACACAACTTCGTTTACTATCATTAACATTAAGATATTCTTTTAATGATAAATTTAGATTCTGGGATCAACTGTCATCTTTAAAGAACCTACGCTTATTAGAAGTTAAATTTTGGAATATTGCCGGACCAAACAATTGTATTCAGGAAAAGGAATATATTATACGTTCAATATTTAATAAAGGCTGTTGTCCGTTATTAGAATCTCTTATTATAGGCACTTGTGGTATAGTAAAAATAATGGCTATGATTCCTCTTTTAATGAGAACAGATTCGACAACAAATATTAAACGTCTATTCATTGACTCGTTAACTTTTTATGATTTAATGAAATTACGTCCTGCTATACAAAATGTTCAATCATTCTGTCCCGATTATCAGTTAGACTACTCAACTACAAGCCCAATGCTTCTTAAGTGTATTCAACTGAAGGTACAATTATCAAGAGATTTTATGTTTGAACATGTTGAATATCTGCTACAACAAACGCCGAATTTAGAGGAACTGATTTTGTCGGGTTGGTATCATTTACTCGATGCGAAAAAATGGGAATTATTATTATCAACACAATGTCCAAAATTGATAAAATTCGAATTAATATGTTTGGGTGACGTTTATGATAATAGTTTCAAAAAAGCAGCAGATAATTTTGAACAAGAATATAACATAACATTATTTTGGCTTAAACGAAACACTATTGTTAGAAAGGATAGAAGTCGTTGTTCTTTTTGTTGTCGCTTTGATGTTGTTGCTTGATATAATATTCAAAAAAATGAATTTAATAATCAAATAAAAACTATCTCTTTGTCTCTGCAAGTTGGATATGTAAATAAACGATAGTAATGTGAAAAAATCACAAAAGCTGAGTTATCAGTGTTTTTCGGGTAAAGAATATATTGCTATAGACTCGTATTTTCTTCGTTCGATGCATGTTAGAAAGCATTATTTTTGAGGGCGAGGGAGGTAAATCATGTAATGCGTTTGTGCTCTCCCATAGAAGAACAGATTAAAAAAAGGAGGTAGCTTTGAAATATTGTTTTATATCTTCGGAGTTATTGTTTGATGGATTAAGAAAGGTTTGAAGCGATTCGATCCAGAGAATAGCAGGATTTCTGTACTTCAAAAATTGTTTAAAGTAAAAATACGCATATAAAAATTACTAATGAATGTTCAGTTATACAAAGATCATTTCATTTATTGTCCACGTTTCAGTTAATAATAAAATTATACATAGAATGAAGGTAAACAACTAAAACGAAAGCTTGTTTCAAGACAAATAAGCATACATTGCAAAAAGAGTCGAACAAATATCAAGCAGTGATTCTTTTAAAAAAATGTCCTCTAGGTTCGATCCTTAAGCATGAAAAAGTAAGGTTGACAGAGTAGGAAGGACATGTGGATTTGTATTTTAAGGATGTGGGTGTGGGGTGTGGGTGTAGGTGTGTGGGTGTGGGTGGGTGTGAGTGTTCTTCTCTCAATCAAAAGTAACCCACACCACCCACACCCACCCACACCCACACCTACACCCACACCCACACACCCCAAAAATATCTTAGGCATCTCCCCTCCATTTCTCATAAAAAAAATGAAAAAAATACGTTTTTTTCTAAAATTAAGTTTTTCTATGTAATTTGTTAGAGGCGTCAGAATTAGGGACATTTTTTTACTGGCTGTTAGGAATAGAGAACTACTATCTAATTCTGTCAGGTGAAAGCATTTTTCGTGGACCGATAATTTCACTATGAAAACATGAAAAATGAAAGGTAAACAATATATCGTTTGAAAGCGGAGAATCCAGAGATTATCTAAATATAAAAATACGTTTGATCAGATGTAAAATAGTCGCACAGTAGTTGAAACAAAAAATGGGAAAATTTTTCCGACAGAATTAGGGAAACGTACTGTACATATGCAATTGCCATTCTACTTTCTCAAGTAGAACAATGTAATTTTGTCTCGACTTGATTTGATTCTAAATTTTGATTTCGAATTCGTAATCAACTTAGAGATACTAAGCCAACTGATAAGACTGTCTAAGCAACAGTCGAAACGCGTCGTGGTAGCTTCTACACACCCATACCCACACCGACACTATAGCACGCCCACACCCTCGCTCTCTTTGAATAATCTATGTTAGGCACCTGTGGAATTTGTTAATTGTCTTGGAAATTTTATTTTTATTGATAGTGTTCGTACAGCAGTATTATTGAGAAGTTTATGAGTAGACAGTGTCAAAAGGACACATAGTTTCATGTTTTAGTTTATAAAAGAAAATGTCATCCTGTTGTTGGATCATACAATTCGGCACTACTTAGATAACCATTATTATTTGACCCGCCACTGAGTAACACTTTCCCATTTGTTAATACGGACGCTGTATGATATGCTCGTACAGTGCTCATACTACCAGTAGCTGTCCAAACTCCTGTTGACGGATCATATACCTCAGCACTATTTAGATAAGCATTATTATATCCACCACTAACTAACACTTTCCCATTTGTTAATACAGACGCTGTATGATATGCTCGTGTGCTATTCATGCTACCAGTAGTTGTCCAAGTTCCTGTTGAGGGATTAAACAACTCGGCACTACTTAGATAGCCATTATTATTTGACCCGCCAATGAGTAACACTTGCCCATTTGTTAATATGACTGCTGTATGATATGCTCGTACAGTCCTCATGCTACCAGTAGTTGTCCAAGCTCCTGTGGATGGATCATACAACTCGGCCCCATTAGGATAAGTGGCATCATTCAATCCACCACTAACTAACACTTTTCCATTTGTTAATACTGACGCTGAATGATATCTTCGTGCAGCATTCATGCTACCGGTAGCTGTCCAAGTTCCCGTTGAGGGATTAAATAATTCGGCGCTATTTAAATAAACAGTATTAATATACCCACCACTAACTAACACTTTTCCATTTGTTAATACGGATGTGGTATGACCTGATCGTGCAGTACTCATGCTGCCAGTAGTTGTCCACGCTTCAGTTGATGGATCGTATAACTCGGCACGTGCTGGATTACTAGTAGCAAATCCACCACTAATTAGCACTTTCCCATTTGTTAATACGGACGCTGTATGATACCCTCTTCTAGTGTACATGTTCATCCAGGCATTGCTTGTCCAAACTCCTGTTGATGGATCATATATGTCGACACTATTTAGAAAAGCAGTACCATCCGTTCCACCACAAACCAATACTCTCCCATTTGCTAATACAGATGCTGTATGATATTCTCGTGCAATACTCATGTTCCCAGTAGCTATCCATGCTAGAAGTAAATATATTGTTTCAATAAACATTTACTTTACTTATGTAAGCTGTAAATTAGCCGTACACGAAAGATATCTATGCGTAGAGTGCAAAAGCCACTTTGGAAGATTGTGCAAACGTTTTTTACGTTTCATCCATAGTACTGGAAACTTTTAAACTTTGCAAAATCTTATGTTTAGACAAACGAAAGCACAGTTTCAAAGCAATGAAGAAAACTTTCATAGATTTAAACATAACCCATTGTTTCATGCATCAGAATTAGACAGTTATTTAAAGAGATCCGAAAAGCCCCTATTCAGCTTAATGTGAGAGTTGACACTTTGTGTCCTTTCTCCAAGATGAAAAAATTCATCTCCGACGTCATGCGAAGATTGAACAGTGTAGAAAAAAGATTGCATGATAAACGTTAAAGGTCCGGCAAATTGATCAGATACCTTTGCAAGATTCATAAAAAACACATTAAACCTTTTTTCGTTTATTAGCTGAAAGGTTTTTGAAAAAGAGCGTTTTCTAAGGCTTTGTATTTATCCCAGGAGTTTCTAACTCTCGTTCTGTGTTCTGGCCGCTTATTACTAAACCCTCAAGCGTTTATCGTTCAGTTAGAGAAGTTTTTTATTGTAAGATATTTAATTGTACTGCCAACCCAAGTGAAAGTACTCGTCCAGCAGGTACTCAAAAAATACTCGTGCTAGAAAATGCCACGAGTACCCATGAGTACTCGCGGCTTTGAGTACTCATCAGTAGTATTTGTGCTAGGTTTAGAGCGTCTGAGTACGACTATCAAGTACTCGCCTTGAGAAATTGAGTGTTTTCCGAATACTCACTGTGCATTGTCAGATACTTTGATCAGTTTTTCGTAAAATACTCATAAGCCTATATTACGTCCAGCATTATTCTACTTTATTCGTTTTAATTCATTTATCAAGAAGTAGTGAAGCACAAAAGTATATTATGAAATTTTGAGAAATGAAAATATCACATTATATATTTCTGTAATTTTATTAAAGAACGAGCATAAAGATATTATCTTCAGAAGAAAAAAAACTGTTAAAACACATATTAAACACATTATATTATTACACACAACTAAATACTAAGTAATTGTCAAAATTAAAATATATGATAAACATAAATAGAAATATTTATATTATTACGAAAAAAATGAATATATTAAACTCATAAATACATCTTATTTATTGATATGTCGAAAGAGAAATAAAAGGTAAATTTAGTATGTTTAGTATGACCTATGTATCTTAAAACTATTGAAATAGAAGTAATCTATCTGAAAGTCCTTTATTGAATTTTTGCTTCATTAATTTTCTTTATATATCGAAAACGTTGTTTATTAGTCTGAAATTATATTTTATCTAAAATTTAGAAATTAAAATTCAATGAATTATCGTTTATGCATTTACATACTCATTTAATCTGACTTCGAAAATATACGACTAAGAATGAGAAGTCATTATTCTGTTCATTCGATATAGCCATTTATCAAAGCGTTAAAAAGAGTCATCAGTTGAAAATCGAAAATAATAAAAATGAGTCCGCAACATATTTCGTGTCGCTTTTTCATTCGATTTCATCATTTCTCTATTTGATTTAAGTTATTTTTAATTTTTGTATATGTTAGTGCATTGCTGTTTCGTTAACGTAAGATATCTTCTCAACCGATTCGAGTTTTTCCTTTCCGGATTTGCTCCTGGACTGTTTCTAACATCGTTCTCACTAGTTCAAAGTAGAACTCGACGAGCTCTATCGATTTGAGGAGTTTCTTTTCTGTCTAGATCCCTCCATACCTTCGAAAAATGCCAAATACCTTCAAAAAACCACTAAAATCCTACTATTTGGTTTCCCGATTTGATTATGAGCTGGTTCCAATGTAATCAACACTGGTTCTAGATAGATCTCAACGGGCTCTATCGATTTCACACCTCATTCATCAATTTTGATTGTATTATCGCTGAAAAAATTGCTAATTAATTTTCTTTCGTCAAACACTAAAAGATTTCTTCCTGTGAAGATAAGAAAGTAGCCAGCGATAATATTCTTTAGGGTATGAATGTGAGTGTGGGTTTGATGATGGGGTGGATGTGGGTGTGGGGTGTGGGTGTTGGTGTGGGCGTGAGTGTGGATGATATAAAGTCACACTCACACTCACACCCAAATCCATATCCCACACCCACACTCACCCACATCTGGTCTAACTACGATAACCGTAGGTGCAGTCACTGGTTCAAACTCATTCGCAATAAAAACACCATTTTATAAGAAAATAGCGATACTTTATAAAGGTTGACGATAGGAGATCGAGGTCGCAGAATCCGAATCTGAAGTCAGTTTTTGAAAATTTTGAATTGAATTTTTTCGACAAGAGAAAGGGTTCTTTAGAAAAGTAGTGATATTTTATAAAGCCTGAAGGAAGTAAATCGAGGTCGAAGAATCCAAATCTGAAATCAGATCCTTGAACTTTTCAATTTTCTCTTCCCAAGACCAAATCGCTTCTTGAAAATCGTCTTTTTTTCTAGAAAAATTTATTCCTGAAAAACATTATATGTGAAAAATAAAACTATAAATTTTCAAACACTGACTTCAGATTCGGATTCTCCGACCTCGATCTCCTTTCGGCAACCTTTATAAAGTATCGTTATTTTCTTATAAAATGGTGTTTTTCTTGCGAATGGGTTTAAACCGGTAACCGTATCTATGGTTACCGTAGTTAGACCGGTAACCGTACCTACGGCTG